CCAACGCTTGTCCAAGTAAGAGATAGCCTTGTGCGCTCTTCCGCACCCACGGGCTCTTCTCCGGGTCGTTCTCGGGGCGCTTCTCCGTTCCTTCCATCACCTCCAGCAGGTCATAGTGGTCAAAGATGTTCTCCATCTTGAAGGACCATTCAGCAAAGTTGTCACCGTTGAACTTGTCAAGCCCAAACACCCTAGGCTCATCCCTAGGTGGGCCAAGACTTGGTTGCATGGGCGCCATGGCTGAATCACGGGGTTGGCCTTGAGCTTGAGCTTCTCCACTGCCACCAGCACCTCTGCCACCCCTTTCCTCAGGTCCAGACATTGTCGAAACTGCTCCAAGGGGCTCTGATACCACTTGTTATAGTCACAATAGGCTTGAATGTGCCTAAAACGAAAGATAGAGAGCACAGACGGATTTCTGCACAGCGGCTTCAAACGTTGATAGCGTTCTGCTCACAGCTGCAAATGACTTGATTCAAATTGGATCTGGAGCGTCTTCACGTCGTCTACAATTAGCAATTTAGATTGCACGATTTGATGAAGAATTGACGACACAGCGTCGGTTTGAACGAACGGTACTATGGCAGCCACTATAGTCTTAGAACACAAGATAGGAAGAGTTACGAGTTGGGAATGACTCCCAGCTCCTACAAACCCCAAGAGCCGAGGTACAGTGATGTGGAACAGTGCCACACTGTCCCCAACCACGAAGGGTCTCGAAACTACCCTTCACTAGGGCCTACACCAAGTGAAATGTTACACTACACAAAGTAATGTAACTATCTTCAATATCTTGAGGTGTACCCTTTTGGCAAGCTTCGAAATCACTTGAGGCTTGACACCAAGGCTCGGGCTCTTCATCACAAACTCATCCTTGAGTTCTTGATGGGTCTGCTGCACACACCTGCGAAACGCCGAACGTTCGACACAGGACAAAATAGAAACCGCGCACGACAAAATAGAAACCGCGCGCGAGACACAAACGACCGCGTAACACGCGTCTAGCGATAACTCGCTATTGACTCGACACACACACTCGACATCATGACTCAACATTCACACACAATTATAAGCATGAAATATATATTATCCCATGCCCTCATACCATTCCATACACACACACATCCACGCACACGGACAACAAGCCGAGTGCAAACCGTAGGGTTGCACCAACAGGAGCGGCAGGAGCTAGGGGCGGCCACGAGAACAACTAGGAGCGCGAGGTGAAACTAGGCGAGGAACGGCTGGAGCACGGAGCACACTGAGCTAGGAGCGCCAGGTTAAACTAGGCGAGGAACGACCGGTGCTGGAACGGCTGGAGCTGAAACGGCTGGAGCTAGAACGGCTGGAGCGAGAACGGCTGGAGCAAGAACGGCTGGAGCTAGGCACGGCTGGAGCTAGGAGTGGCTGGAGCTAGAACGGCTGGAGTGAGAACGGCTGGAGCTAGAGACTGTAAGTGCGGCTGTCGGCTGCCGCTAGTGGAGCCAGTGGCAGTGGAAAGTACGTGCGACAAAGGGGCTGCAGTACTGACGGCTGCGGGAGGTAGGGAACTGTGCAGGTCGTCCAGCAAGCAGGAACGCGGGCGACAGTTGCAGCCCCCCACCTTGAACCCCTTTTTTTTTTTTTTTTTTTTTTTAGGGTTTAATTAATTAATTTTATTTTCTGGCGCTAAAGCGCTGCGGGGCGCGCTGCCTGCAGGGTGTGCTGCCTGCAGGGCGCGCTACCCGCGGGGCGCGCTGCCTGCGGAGCGCGCTACTCGCGGGGCGCGCTACCCGCGCGGCGCGCTGCCTGCGGGGCGCGCTACCCGCGGGGCGCGCTCCCTGCGGGGCACGATTTCTGCGGGGGGCGCGCTACCTGCGGGGCGGGGCGACGCGGCGGGCTAGGGGCAGGGCGCTCGGGCGTGCACGGGCTAGGGGCAGTGCGCACAGGCGACGTTACGGGCTGGGGCAGGGCGCATGGGCGACGTGACGGGCTGGGGCAGGGCACACGGGCTACGCGACGGGCTAGGGCAGGGCGCACGGGCTACGCGACGGGTTAGGGCAGGGCGCACGGGCGACGCGACGGGCTGGGGCAGGGGCCACGGGTTATGCGACGGGCTGGGGCGGAGGCGCGATACGGAGGGCGTGGAGGGCGCGTAGGGGAGGGCTAGGCGCGGAGGCGCGGATGGCGCGTTATGGAGGGCGCGGAGGGCGCGTTACGGAGGGCGCGGATGGCGCGGAGGGCGCGGAGGCCGCGTTACTCGAGGCTAGGGCGCGGAGGGCGCTAGGGCGCGTGGAGGAGGGCGCGTAAGGCGCGGAGGCGCTCTAGAGCGCGGAGGGCGCAAGGGCGCGGAGGGTGCGAGGGCACGTGACGGAGGGCGCGTAAGGCGCGGAGACGCTCTAGGGCGTGGAGGGCGCGAGGTAGGCTAGGCTAGGCAAGGATTCTAAACCTACTCGTGATACCATCTCAGAAAGTGAATGCAACGGAATGTTTGACTTAGGAGAGCAAGGCATACAAATAGAAACCCTAAGAGTGTTGTACTCCTTAGAGTGCTACTCACTGCAGCCTACAACCAATAACAACATTTGACAAGATATAACCTTCAGCTACGTTTTTATACAAGGACCCTAAATGCATCACGTTTCATCAGCTTTGATTCCCCCTGGAGAATAAGCAATACCCTATGTATAATAGTTTGCTCCTGCACCACACCTGACAACGAACACAGAGAAAAACGAAACAGCAGCAACACAGGGCATGTTTCAGCGACATGGCGTCAAGCAGGATTCCTACCTCACGAATAAGGCAGCCTCCACGGGCATGCAGAGAGAGTGCAGTTCCAGAGTTCGAAATCAAAGCACTGGAAATTCCCACTGTACGCGACTGCGTGATAGAACGTCACCGTAGTCTGCAAAAACGATGGCGACATTCAGACGAAGCCACGGAACAAGCGCTAAGAGAAAGCGGAATACGCTTAAGCGCAAATGTCAGGGTTACAGATAAGCGCGCACGACTAACGTGCCTCACATTAGATCTTCGCGCACGACATGGGGGATTGATGGACTCCCGAGCGAAGAGCAACAGAGCGGCGATGTAAAACTGCTGAAGCAAGAGAGACTTACTTACCTCGTAGTCACAATTTAGAGCTCCAAACATGAGCGCCTGGCACGAAGGTAGGCGATGCCTGCAAAGAAACACACATGGCTCGAGAAAACAATTAGAAATTGACGATGGAAGAACTCTTTGTGAATCGCCAGGTTCATGACGTTGCTTAGCGAGAAAGGGGGTGACGAGAAACTAAGCAAGTACAGTTCACCATAGCCTCCAGCAATGTCTACGAAATTGCAGTAGCGGAAAACGCGGGCATGGCGGCGAGCTAAGAGAAGTGAGAACTGGACAGCTTGAGAATGAGGGAAATGGGCGAGTTGAGGTGGTGAAATACATCGAAGTGAGATGAAAATTTATGAAATAAAATTCAAAATTTAAAGATTATGACAATACACGTAAAGGAGAATGCAGTAAGGAGTCTATCGCTCCTTATATTGTGGCAGGTTTACGGACCTGCCACCTAGTCCAAAAATCATTTCTAGATCTAGTTTAGAACCCACCCCCCCCTCCCATATAGATTTATATTCATTGATACATAGTTTGGATACCTACAATTTCTCTTTGTTATTTTACTTTGTAATATGCAATCTAGTGTGCTGTACGATAAGATCTGAAATGCTATGACGACTGCTCTGCATACTCATTGAAGAGTATTGTCTTAATCGAATGTTTTGTTGGAGTGACTTGGACAACTCTGATTGGTCCAAAAAATTCTGGCTGCCACCTAGCGAGACCCATCACTTGAAACCTCAATATGGGGAGTCTCGATAGTACAGTTCATATAACAATGAACAAAAAACAGTTGTCAAGTCTCGTTTCATTTGAATCGAGGACGGTTTGGAATTCCCGTACGTCGCAGCCTCGGGAGAAGCAAAGTACTGTAGCGCCGAAGTAAACAGCCAGTGACGTTCCCGCCAAAGTTGGGGTGACCTTGGGGTACCCTCCCGAACTGTAAACTTTTCCGATTGGTCAAATGTTTGTTACCACGGTAGGTGCTAAGGTTGGCGGTCGTCGCTGACGTCGCCAGTGTCAGGGGGTAAGCTGTAGGTAACACAGGGGGAACTTGTGGGTCACCTTGTGAGGGTGAGCTCGGGGTCTCCCGCAATTTCAAAGTGATTCTTGCGTGTGGAATTTTGGGATGCGGCGAACGCTTCCAGCATTCGCCGATTTGCCAGCAGCAGCTCCTCCAGATTCCTCTGCCGCGCAACCGAGCCTTCCGTTCCGGTGTCGTCCAACACTGCGCGCCGAGCCCAGCGCGTCTCCTCGTCTGCATGCAGGTTGCCGTGGTGCCGGGTCTCTGCCGCAGCACGCCGTGTTCGAGGATAACTCATCAACTGGAACGTAGTGAACTGAAATGGCATACTCCAGGTTGTTTTGCCAGCGTTAACCATCGGCCATGTTGCATTTGCAGCAACGAACATGAGAATGAAGATGGCGAGTAAAGAAACTCCAAGGCGACATTTGCAAGTCATGGCGGCCATAAATCTCTACGTTCTTTATGGAATGGATGGAGTAACGGGGAGAGAGAACCTCAGAAACAAAGAGAGTTCTCGCCTCTAGATAGAGAAGGGGCGGACTTGTGTTGATGCAGAGACGAATAAATGCGTTTGCTGTGAACACAGGCAGAGTTGGGTGGAAAAACGGGTGAAAGTGGTGTTTGGGGTGCAGCCATTTATGATGTTGGTTTCGAATCGAAGTGTGTCAGTCACTCCGCAAATACGGTAATGTTGCGGCTCGGCTTGAGCCGACTTGCGACTTCATTTGGGAATTCGAAGGTTCACCAATAATTGCATTGCACGAAACGGTTCGCCTCAACAAGGGACTTACCGTATCCTACATGCTAGTTGAAGCAAGAAACACTTGAAAGGAGGCACCAGAAAAGAAACACTAATAAGACAAACCTTGCTCAAGCATTAGATAGACACTCCAGACCCAGATGGGTTAGATCTCCAAGCTCCCATGCTAGAAGCATCTGATGCAAGCTCACCGATCTGAGCTATCTGCTCATCAAGTGGAATAGCAGCTTCTTTTACAACACTCGAAATTTCCGCATCCACCAGATTGGCAGCTACGTTCTCCTCGACTCCAAAACATTCCTGCTTCATTTTCTTTAGTTCAGTGTATATCTGGCTCATGGTCGGGCGATTTGCCGTGGGAAGAGAAGTGCAGGTGAGGGCGAATCGAGCAATACGCAGCGTGAGATCATCGGGTATCGGAATGTCCAGGCGAGGGTCTTTGAGGCTGTTAGCGTCACGAGCAAGCACATGATGATCAGCCTGAAAGACAAGCAAATGGAAGGGAGTATGTGGACAGGGAGCATGGACATGGAAAGTGTATGTTTTGTGCCAACGAATTTTCAGGGTTATAAGCCAGCTTCCTTACGCCATGCATATAAACGTCAACCACAACGAGAGTCTGTCAAAACAACTCAGTCAACGCAATATGAACTTACCCAGTCCTTGATGTTGATTTGTCGTTCACCTGAGCCCATCATCGCCCTCTGCCCGGTCATGACCTCCAGAATCACAATCCCGTAACTGCACAAGCACATGGATATGGATGAACGCATAAACATGAAGAAAGAACACATACCTAGGAAAAAAAGCATTCATTCATCAGGACACAGGCACCCATGCACACAAGCGCATGAACACAGAACATTTGTAAGAACAACAGGAGCATGGAGACGTAAACCAGTATTTCTCATTACTGTACCTGTACACATCGGTTGCCGTGGTGGCCCTGCGAGTGCGAGTGTATGCAGGGTCGACATAGCCGGGCGTGCCGAGGATGCGGGTGGTGCCGACGGAGGTGCCCTCGCCCATGCGCACGAGGCCAAAGTCGGCGACCTTGGCGTGCATGTGGCGGTCCAGCAGGATGTTGGCGAGCTTGATGTCCCGGTGCACGATGCCAAAGCTGTGCAGATACTCCAGCCCGTGCGCCGCGCCTATCAGGATGTTGAAACGCTGCGACAGCGTCAGGGTCTTGGGCGCCTCTGAAGTGGTGCATAGTACAGGTTTGATGGCAGAGAGGAAGAGACACAAGATAAATGATTATTGTCATGGACTACTCATATAGAGCGAGCTATTCCAAAAAAAAAAAAAAAAAAAAAAAAAAAAAACCTTTTGAAATGCAATCGTGAAGCATTGATTTGGACAGTCCGAGGTAGGAAAACTGACAATATTATGTGCTTATGTGACAGCTCACCTCGCCCACTCCACTAAGTCTCACCTGGCCCCACCCAGGTCTCGAGGTCCCCGTTGAGCATGTACTCGTAGATGAGGATCTGCTCGGTGCGCTCGTTCACCACATCCATGTCCAGACAGAACCCCAGCAGCCGCACCAGGTTCGGATGGTGCTTCGATGCCATCTCATGGATCTGAGGGCGTGAGGTGGGGAAAGGAGGGCAGGGGGGGGGGGAAGGGGATGAGGGGGAGTGTTGGGTGGGGATTTTGCTCTGGATCCATAGAAAGGAGACTCGCAGGTTGAACATGGAAGAGTGGAGCAGAAACAGCGGGGCGTCCCATGCAGGAAACCATACACAGGCATTGGTGACGGGAAATTAAGAAGCTCACCTCTTGCTTGAAGTCGTGGGATCCATGGGATGGAGAGTTTGGTTGGCTCATTCAAACGCATGCATGCTTGTATTGTCATCGAGTTCTCTCACTCACCTCTCGCTTGAAGTCATTGGTGATCACTTTTGCCCGCTTCACCGCGTGGCACAAGATCGTGGCCCATGGAATGGAGTGCTTGGTTGGTTCATTCGTACACATGCATACTTGGCTTGTCAGCGAGCTCTCTGTCTCTCTCACCTCTCGCTTGAAGTCGTTGGTGATCACTTTCGCGCGCTTCACAGCCCACGGGATGGTGGGATCCATGGGGTCCAAAGCCCGATACACGTCCGCGTACCCGCCACTCCCAATCCTCCTGGTCTCGGAGAAATTCTCGGTGACCTGCTTGATGAGGAAGAGAGGGTACTGGTGGCACAGCAGGGGCGTGTCCGACGTGCCGCCCACGATTATTGAGTGGATGTGGTTTCCTGCTGCTGCTGCTCCTGCCCCTGCGCCTGCCATGGCTCCTGCTGCTATAGCGGCTGCTGCAGACTCAGGGTCATAGTTGGTGCTGTTGATCTTGCTGCCTGGAGAGACGTCTGCAGCTGAGAGTGACATCGGAGGAAGGAGGAAAGGGGAAGGTGGAAGAGAAGAAGTGAGTTGGATAAAGCAGGAACATGAAGCAATGTGATTTTTGTTACAGTGAGTTGACTGCAGTGTTATTAACTTATACCAGGTTCCCTAGAAAGAGTTCAATGACTTTTAAAAAAGGCATTCAACGATCATGTAGTGATGCACACCTTTTTGTCGTCTTTTGTTAAGGCAGAGGAACGCGGTGAGCACGACAGCAACAGTGGAGCAGAGGAGAGCGATGCCGCCCGCAGCGATGCCTATGATCACTCCCGTTGAGATAGTGGCTGTAACGAAGGTGACACAAACGAGTACCACAGGCTATAAAACTAAATGGTGAGAAGCAGTTTTTTAAGTTCTTGCCTGGTGGTTCTAATGAAGGTGACAAATAGACGTGGAAGCTGGAGTGAAGAGGGAGGCCAGAGTGTTTCAAAAAGTTTGGCAGGATGCACGTTGGGTTCAAAAAGAGCGATTTCAAGCACTTCAATGTGGATGGACGGAGGAGCACTCACACGACGATGTCGTGGATGTTGTGTTTGGCGCAGCAGGAGCGGGGGAAGAAGTCTGAGGGGGGGGGCTGGGGGATGGACTGGACGGTATAAAGGTGGGTTCAGGAGCTGGGTCAGAGCCCTGTGCGAAGGCGGAGAGGCGCAGATTGGCGGACAGCATCTGCTCCAGCAGCGCCGACCGCCGCGCTGCATCTCCGTCTTCCTTCGCCGCTCCTCCGCCTCCCTCGCTCCCCTGCTCCTCCCGCGGAGCCGCGTCCGCCGCGTCCTCCTCCAGCGCGCGCCGCACGTCCGCCACTCCCCCGTCATCCATATCGACCGCGCTCTCCTGATTCTGCCACACCTCGTAACCGCTCTCACTTCCATCCACGTAGTTTCCTGAGCTCCCGCCCTCCGACTCGGCGCCATGGCGCGGCCTCGCGTAAAACTGCCTCCGAGCGAGCCTACGGCCGTCAATGCCGTCGCGAACCTCGTGCGGGTCGGTGAACACAGCCACTTGCGAATCATCGTCGAACACAGGATCTCGAAACGAGTCCCGTCGAACGCCGTGCCGCGAGAGAGTAGGTACTTTGTTCCTTTCAGCAGGCTCGGGGTTTGCCGAACCTATTTCGTCGCCTTCGTTACTGACCACAAATTGCGGCGGGAAAAGAAGGCTCGAGATCGTATGAACGTCGTACTTCTTCGTTTTTATCGCGTTTGCTCTCGTTACAGTCACATTGGCAACGGAAAAGCTGTCTGAGCCCATTTGCAGCTCCACGGGTGTACCCAACAGGGTCGGCTTCCAGCCGTTCCATTCAAACGGAGATAATTTAGCGGGGATAAAGTGAAACATGAGTATTTTGCGTAGCGTCTCGCGGTTATCGGAGGACTGTAGACCCGCGAGCGCCGCCGGGGAGAGCGAGAGGAGCGCATCGTTAGAAGGCGCGAAGACCGTTAACAGAGACGAATCGTGCATCTGAGGAACGTCTTCCAAAACGCCGGACTCTCGTAACAAATGCGCGAAACCCGTGAATCCGTCGCCCGTCAGCCGAGCCGCAAGACCCTCCACCTCTACGGTATCTTCACTGTCATCAATGTCCTCCTCCTTGGAGCCATACCCGGCGAGATTCGCGGGAGGTTTGTCTGGGAGACCTTCTGCGGGCAAATGCGTCGTAAGTAAGCCATCTTGGTCCGTCATCAACGGTTCTGGGTGGGGCGGGAAGTTTCCCGGAAACCGTCCTGTCGCCGCCACGCCAGGAGCCACGATACACGTAGCGAGAAAAGTCACTAGAATCGGCTGGAAGAACCTCATCTCGTAGCTTTCCGAGGAGGCCTAGGGATTTCCGCCTGGTCTGTTTTGATATCAAGATGCTACGGGGTTGTAAATGTGCAGGGAACAAAGAAAATGTTAGAGCTAAAGTGTGCGATAGTCCTGTCATGGCTGCTGAAAAGATATATAGCGCCTGCTTGTGTCTAATCTACGCAGCGACGCGCCGTGCTTGTGTCGCGGTGTCGCGGTGTTTCTTGAGTTGCGTTGTCGCAACTGAACGAGGAAGAGTGACTGGAAAGAAGGCCTTGCCACATGGCTGACTGATCCTTTTTCTGTGCTGGCGGTTGTGACTGGGCGGAACGCTGTGCCCCGCTGGGTCGATTTCACGAGGGTCATTGCTAGTCACGCCAGTGCAAAGGGTCACTGCTTGGTTTGAGGCAGGCTCGGAAGAGACGAGGCTAACCACCAAGTCCCTTACCTGACCGGTTTTGTTTGCGCCAGCGCTTCATCCAATCAACAAACCGGATAAGGTCGCAATGTGGCAGTGACTGACCACCAAACCTCTACTCTGAGCTGTTTGATTGGTGGGCCGCTGAACAGCTTCCCCGCTGTGCCGAACGTAAGGACGCCATACCCTTCATGGCTTGTCAATGGATTGAGGAGGCTGTTGGCCTGGTTTGACATCAGGCAACTCGAGCGATTTTGTGTGCAAGAATGACAACAGGATGCTGAATGGCAGAAGCATGCAGTGTAGATGTCCAACCAAACATAGGTGGGTGGGTACATGTGCTGGAAAATACTAGAAGCAAAATCATCTTTATACGTGGGTGTCACTTGCTCTTCAATGGGAAAGGGAATGGCTTTTCAAAAGCTTGTATTTTTAAGTTACATGCTATAATTGGGCATTACAACATAGTGCATACTCCAGTGTAGCCAATCACTACTCTGTTGTCCCCCCAGATCTTGAAGGATTTGTTCTCCAAGCACTCGTGCTGAATTCAGCAGATTCAAGCTCATCAATCTCAGCAATCTGCTGATCAAGCGGAATAGCCGCCTCTCCTACAGCGATTGATATTTCTGCATCGACCATATGAGCAGCCGAATTTTTCTCAACCCCAAAACACTCCTGCTTCATGTTCTTTAGTTCTGCATAAATCTGGCTCATGGTCGGTCGATTTGCAGTGGGAATGGAAGTGCAGGTCAGGGCGAATTTGGCCATCCGGAGAATGAGCTCGTCTGGAATTGGGACGTCGAGCCGGGGATCCTTGAGGCCGTTAGCATTGTTGGCGAGAAGGTGTTGATCGGCCTGAAAGAGGGGCGAGGGGATGTAGGGGAGGCAACAACCAATGTGACATTGACAGCTCACGTAGCATGTGGGAATAAGCACGAGAAGGCTGAGAGACGTGTTGAAGGTGCTAACAGCCCAGGCAAGAACTTAAAGAGCGGTTTGGGGAATGACCCAGGGGAAGGAAGCACAGCAAATCATGGAGGAAACAAGACAGGGCATAAAAGAGGAAGACGATGATTAAAAATATGCTAAGATGGACGTTTAACAGTCTGTCATCCAAAGTGGTTCCATTGGTCGAAATAAGACAAATGATCAGGCAACTGCAATATCACGAGTTCTCCATCCAGCACTCACCCAGTCCTTGATGCTGACTTGGTGCTCTCCCTTGCCCATCATCGCCCGCTGCCCAGTCATGACCTCCAGGATCACAATGCCAAAGCTGCCAGGGCGGGCAAGGGGGGCATGCAAAAGCATGCACATGAAAGCATGCAACGGAGCAAGCATGGTTGTGAGGATAGTAGAAATAAATCGCGTGCCCATCACTGCTTGTTGTTTCTCCAGTCACGTTCTCCATGATTGTAACATCAAATTCGTGAGTGAATGCACCAGAAAAGAAAAGAACAGAGCAGACAAGAAACCGCAGGGGAAAGAAACACGAAAAGGCACGATATGTGAAACTGCAGGGCCCATGCGTACAACACATATGCATCAGTTTTACACAGAATGAACCAACAATTCATAACACTGTACCTGTACACATCGGTCGCTGTTGTCGCCCTACGGGTGCGGGAATAAGCGGGGTCGACATAGCCGGGCGTGCCGAGGATGCGGGTGGTGCCGACGGAGGTGCCCTCGCCCATGCGCACGAGGCCAAAGTCGGCGACCTTGGCGTGCATGTGGCGGTCCAGCAGGATGTTGGCAAGCTTGATGTCCCGGTGCACGATGCCAAAGCTGTGCAGATACTCCAGCCCGTGCGCTGCGCCGATTAGGATGGCAAATCGCTGGGAGAGCGTGAGAAACCTGGGCGCATCTGGATAGAAAGGGGGCGAAGGGGGGGATGAAGGGAGGTTGAAAGCTGTGCAGATACTCCAGCCCGTGCGCTGCTCCGATCAGGATGCCAAACCGCTGGGACAGCGTCAAGAACCTGGGCGCGTCTGATTGCGGGCGGGAAGCAGGGGATGCGGATGGAAAGAGGGTGGCGAGGTGGAGAATGAAATGGGGTTGAATGATAGCTGTGCCGGCACTCCAGCCCGAACGCCCCATCGTGTAGCACCTCGAACCGCTGGGATCGCGCCAGGCACATAGTTGCGTCTGGCACATGGGGCAAGAGAGGGAAGAGAAAAGGGAAAGAGGTGCGGAAGGGGAAGGAGGGAGGGTGACGTGAATGAAGGCATACATCAATGTGTGGTCACATGGCGTACACAGCACGGCATAGTCACACAGAATACAGTCACGTAATGAACAGTCACATGCCATACCGCCACATGGCCTACAATGACATGCCATACAGCCATGGGATGGTCACAAACCCGGCATACGGTCAAATGGCACAGTCACACGGCTTATTCACATGGCGAACAGTCACACATCATAGGATCACATGAAATAAGGGCATAAAGAATACAGCCGCACTGCGAACAATCACATAACATCAAGTCATATGGCATACAGTCACATGCCACGCAGTAACATGGCGTTTAGTCACATGACATATAGTCACAAGAGGCAATATGAGTCTAACCTGCCCCTTCCTATGCCTCAAGGTCGCTATGCAGCATGAACTCGTACAGTCACATGTTGTACAGTCACATAGCATACAGTTAAATGTTGTACAGTCACATAGCATGGAATTACATGTTGTACAGTCACATAGCATACAGTTACATGCTGTACAGTCACGTAGCATACAGTTACATGCTGTACAGTCACATAGTATACAGTTACATGTTGTACAGTCACATTGCATACAGTCACGTAGCATACAGTTACATGTTGTACAGTCACATAGCATACAGTTACGTGTTGTACAGACACATCGCATATGGCTGGCATACAGGCACACGGCATACAGTCACATGGCATACTGTCACATGGCATACTGTCACATGGCATAATGTGACGTGGCGTGCCGTACAGTCCCATCCCATGGAATAAAGTCACAGTCTCTAAGGCTCACCTGGCCCCACCCAGGTCTCTCAGGCTCACCTGGCCCCACCCAGGTCTCGAGGTCCGTTGAGCATGTACTCGTACAGTCACAAAAATGGGATAGTCACATGACATACAGTCTCCATGCGGCTCACCTGGCCCCACCCAGGTCTCGAGGTCCCCGTTGAGCATGTACTCGTAGATGAGGATCTGCTCGGTGCGCTCGTTCACCACATCCATGTCCAGACAGAACCCCAGCAGCCGCACCAGGTTCGGATGGTGCTTCGATGCCATCTCGTTGATCTAGCAATAAATGTCAACCGTAGCATGGGGGGGGGGGAGAATGGACTGGAATGGGGTCAATCAAAGGAAGTGAAGTGCAAGTGGAAAAGTAAAGCAGTTGATTTCCTTTTAAACCCTTGGGATCGTGGGGCAAGTTGGTAAAAAAAAAAAAAAAAAACACGAGTGCGGTTAATTTGGTATACGGAGGTTGCTATGGGAACGAGCTCTCACCTCTCTCTTAAAGTCGTTGGTGATCACTTTCGCCCGCTTCACCGCCCACAGCACCGTGGGGTCCATGGGATCAACGGCTCGGTACACATCCGAGTACCCGCCGCTGCCAATCCTGCGCGTCTCTGAAAAGTCCTCCGTGACCTGCCTGATCAGGTCAAACGGATACTGCTGGCACACCATTGGTGTGCCTGACGAACCTGCTACTGACCCTGCCGCTGATCCTGCTCCTGATCCTGTTCCTGCTGCTACTGCTCCTGCTCCTGCAGCGGCCATGGCTCCTGCTGCTGCAGCGGCTGCTGCTACCTCAGGGTCGTAGTAAGGGTTGTTGGGTGTGATGGGCGGAGGGGCATCTTTAGCTGGGAGTGGGAGGAAGGGAGAGGATTGACCAGGCGGAGGGGGAAAGGAGGAGAGGAGAGTCAGGAATATAGAGATGATTTTCAACTCAGAATCTAGAACATCAACTGGGGGGATGAAGGAGAAGAAAAGAGGTTGGATGGGAAGGCAGGGAGATATGAAACAGGGAGAGGCAACTGCTGCTCATACTTACTCCTGGTCTTAGTAGTGGATTGGGGCGTCAAAACTACACTACACTACCGCGGCATATGACAAAATACGTAACATCAATAAGGTTTACCTTTGCGCTGTTTCTTGAGAGCGCACAGGAAGATAGTGAGGATGGCCCCGACGGTGGCGCAGAGGAGGGCGATGCCGCCCGCAGCAATGCCAATGATGGCTGCCGTGGACAGAGTGGCTGTAACGCATGTGACAAAATCGAATACACGCAGAGTGGATATGTGGACGGATGGACCAAGCTTCGTGGGTCGACAACGATAAGTGAGTGCTGGCTGCTGCCACGTGGACTGGGTTGGGGGACACAGGTTCAACGAAGCAGGAGCACCTGTTGGGTGTTGACGAGGATGATGATAACGTGGACTCAGAGAAGTGACACGTGGAACGACAATCTCGGCTTTGGCACACTCACGGGACGACGATGGCGTGGATGACGGGGATGATGTGTTTGGCGCAGCTGGCGGGGGGGAAGGCGAAGGTGGGGGCGGACTAGGGGGAGAAACGGACGGTTGTACAGGGGGTTCAGGGGCTGCGTCGGAGCCCTGTGCAAAGGCGGAGAGGCGCAGATTGGCGGACAATATTTGCTCCAGCAGCGCTGACCGCCGCGCAGCATCCCCACCTGCTTCCCCCGCTACTCCGCCTCCGCCCCTCCCCTGCTCCCCCGCAAACACCCCCACCGCCTCCTCTTCCGGCGCTCGCCGCACGTCCGCCACTCCCCCGCCGTCTACATCGACCCCGCTCTCGTAATTCCGCCACACCTCGTATCGGCTCTCGTAATTGCTGTGAGAGACCGCGGAACGGCTTTCGTGAATGTCGCTTTCATCGTCATATGGATCTAAGCTTCTGCTCTTCCGCTGGTCGCTCGAACCGCCCGAACCGCCGACCATAGACGCCTCGCGTTGTGAGATGAAACCCAAGGCGAACTCATGCGGGTCAACTTCCAAGACCGGATCTCGAAACGAGTCCCGCCGGACGCCGTGCCGCGTGCGAATCGGCGCGCTTAGATTCTCATTAGGTTCGGTCCCCGAGCCTCCGTTCCCGCCTCGGTTGCTGATCACAGTCAGCGGCGGAAAAAGCAGGCTAGATATTATATGGACGTCGCAGTCCTTTATCTTAATCGCATTCGCTTTCGTTACGCTCACATTGGCGACGAAAAAACTTTCTGAACCCATGTGCAGCTCCACGGGTGTACCCAAAAGGGTTGTCTCCCGTCCAGTCCAATCAAACGGAGATACTCTAACGGGGATGAAGTGAAACATGAGTATTCTGCGTAGCGTCTCGCGGTTATCGGAGGACTGTAGACCCGCGAGCGCCGCAGGGGAGAGCGAGAGGAGCGCATCGTTAGAAGGCGCGAAGACTGTTAACGGGGATGAAGTGTGCAGCTGAGGAACGTCTGCTAAAACGCCAGACTCTTTTAACAAATGCGCGAAACCGGTTAGTCCGTAAGCAGTCAGTCGAGCCGCTAAGTTATCGTCGTCTACAAGAGTATCGTCAAAGTTGGCAAGGACGGCGCCATTCGCGGCGGCATATGAGGGAGGATTGTGTACAGACTCCTCAGCGAGAAACTGCGATGCCAAGTTCTCCTTATTCAGCGATTCTGAGTGAGGCTGGAGATTACCCGGAAATCTTTCTGTTGCCGCCACGCCAGCCACGATGCTGGCGGCGAGCAAAGCTATAAGAGGTTGGAGGAGCCTCATCTGCCGAGAGGATACGCGGATGTGAAGGAGCGCTTTGCCAGAATCAACTTTCTCACAAGGAGATTGCATCGCCTAAAAAGCAAGGGGGCCGGAGCCGATTGTGCGGGTCGATGTAAACCAAGTCCCGGTGCAGAGTGTGTCTACACCGTACTTGCAGCTGGTTGTGCTTGTGCTGTGCAGGATCTCCCACTCTCTTGGTTTGACATTTCAAAGTAGGCATACCATCTGAAAGGGCATTGCCCTCCAAATGCTGGTTTGACATCTGCCCCTCCAAATGCAGGTCCGTTTCAGAAGCTTGCACGCACGCTACCTCATGGAAGGTCGTTCCTTCGTAGCTCCTCGCTTCATTCTGATCCAAGGCTCGATTCCTGAGATGAAGCAGGCTCTCACTTGCCGAGCCTGAAACCCAGGCTGTTCCCATACGCGTGTCGGTTTCGAGAGGTTCTGTGGTAGGGTCTGGGCGCCAGACCACGGTATTATTGGTTGACCAGTGGCTCGTCATTACTGTTTTTACCACAGCTTTGCCGAGCTTCAGGGCGCCATGGTTTCAGCTGGTTAGCCCAGTAACTTCAGTAGGTTCGGAACATCCAAACGTGCAGAGTGTCGTGCGAGGCATGGATGTGACTGGCTTGGCGGTGTCGCTGTGACATCGCGCGACCCCATGTGACGGCGCGAAAAAGATTGGATGAGTGTGATGCCTTGTAGCTGATTCAACGATTCGAGAACAGTAGGCTACATTGCGCGTGTAGTGGATTCCTACATTAACAAAGGTAGATGGAAAATGGCAAAGTAATACTCTCATATGGTAATACGCTATTACTCCTACGAAAACAAAAATGAAACGATGTCACAAGGGTCTCTCAGAGTTTACTAGTTTTTTTATTATGGAACAAACAAACAAAATCACGGATCTCATAACACCAACTACGGTAGTAAGGTGACCTGCTGTAAGGAAAATTTCATTTCCTTACTTCGCGCCCCTGCTCAGCGCGTACACCACTGTTCCCGCCAACAGCACCCAACAGTAATCCGTTACCACTCGCGACACTCGCTTCGACACTATTCCCGCCACTGTTCACGGCGCGACCCAACCTCACGGCTCGGTTGGTAACCCGCGCTCCGGACCTCGGCGCTGACATTTCCCAACCTCGGCGCTAGGCCCGTCGCGCACCCCATTTTCCACGCATTACCGTTACCACTGTAGTTTCGCTATATATTCTTCGCTCATGCCTTCGCTCATTGTACTCTTGCTTCGATAGTGCAACCTTCGTTCGTTCACTCAATTGCACTCGTAACACTTGGTATTCAGAGCCTACGATCTCTTCTCGGATCGCACCCACACCTTCACTTCCCCACTATCTCAATTTTGGGGGGGGGGGGGGGGGGGGGGGGGGGGGTAGACGTCTCTCAGCGAAACAAGCACCGCCGCTCGTAGTGCTCTCTCATAAGCACGCACGGCCACGACAGAGGCTCTCGCTGAGCTTGCCCGACATCCCCGCCATGGCCGAAGTCACTCTCGCGACACTGACGCAGGAGCAACTCGACCGTCTCGTGCACCAAGTCGAAGACTCGGCGCTCGAAATTGCGACACTCACGGCGGAACGTGACTCCGCTCGTCAGCAATCCACGGTGAATGCTCCAGCGCCACCACACGCACCTGCAAATGCACCCACACAATCGGAGGAGCCGATCGTCATTTCATCAGGCACACCGACACAAAACGACAGCGTAGGACAGCGCTCAGGCGCAGCTAGTGATGGCGCCGCTCAATCGATGCCTGGCATGGAGAGGAACAGGGCCGCGCCAAGCCCGCGGGAGCCTCGCGAAGCCCGTCGGCACGTGGAGTTTGCGGCGACAAGTGGCGACCACGCCATCATGACACCAATGCCACTCAAGCCGCAGCGCCCGCCCTGCTTCGACCCGAGCCAGCGTGGAGGTCCGACGGTTCAATCGTGGGTCTTCATGATGAACGTCTTTTTCGACCCGAACTACGTCGAGTCGGACGCAGCGAAGATCCGATACGCCGTCTCGCTGCTGAGGGGCCCCGCCATGGACTGGTGGCGAGTCATCGTGACGTCGCCACGCGCCTACGAGCCACCGTCGCAAGAGGAAGGGCCCACGGGCCCAGCCGCCACCTGGAGTTCATTCTGCGAAACCGCCCAGTACAGCACGTGGGACGCGTGGTGCGCAGGGCTTCGGGCGCGCTTCGAGCCGATCGCGGCTTCAATCTCGGCGCGTCAGAGACTGCGTACTTGGCGGCAGCTCGGATCGGTTCAAGACTACACGAGCGGTTTTCTTGCATTATGCGAGCAAGTCGGCTACATGCACGAAGCGGAGCGGGTGGACCGTTACGTCGGAGGGCTGAAGCCGGACATCTCGCACGAAATCATGCTACGCGGACTCTCGAACTTCAACGAGATTCTCGCGCTCGCCGAGAAAATCGACATTCTGCGCCGTCCGAGACCGGGGTCCTATTGCGGACATCGCCCTCGGGGACCGATCGAGCACGCCACCGTACACGCCGTTGCGACAAATGCAGCTGCCGCGCCGTTCAAGGGGCGCTGCTTTGCTTGCAATAGGCCGGGCCATCGCAAGAGTGAGTGCCCAGAGGAGCTGAGGCGCCGCGGAGCAGAGCAGGGGAGGGAGTCTCCAAGGCAGGGAAACGCCAGCAGTCAGTAGGAATCGGGCCAACTACTGACGAGACTGCCTGCTCGCCTAACCCCACCGACCCTCACCGAGTCACAGTACCGATTCACGCCATCGATCGGGCTCGGACGAATAAGGAGGGTACATCGACGGATTGCCCAGTACTGATCCACGGGAAAATACAGGGAGCAGCAGTGAAGATTTTTATCGACGGAGGAGCAAGTCACAGTTTAGTTAATACCGCGACCGCACGGAAACTGCAACTGACACTTAGCCGGTGTTTACCGGATGTAGATGCACGCTTAGTTGACGGCACACCGCTGGCCATACGGGAGAAGGTGGAGAGAGTAAAAGTCCGCTACGGGGGGAATTTCGGGTTTACACAGGAAATGCTCACGACGACACTGGATGGGCACGACATCTTACTGGGACGTGATTGGCTGCGACGGTATAACCCGCGAATTGACTGGACGACGGGTAGCTGCACTGTGCGAAGTAGCGGTAACTGGGTTGAGCTACCTCGCTGGCAGTCGCCCGAGTCTTCAACGGTCCACGTCAACGCCATCACAATGAAACGGGCCGTCGCCGCTGGAGCTGACGTGTACGCAGTAGACATTGCAGTGGTAGAGGAAGTAGAGCAGCCAAGCGATTTTACGAAACTGCTGGCAGCAGTACCGCCCGAGCTACAGGAACTGTTGAAACGGTACCCGGGGATTTTTCCCGATGACTTACCAGAGGGACTGCCACCTCAGCGAGCACACAACCACCGAATAGAGTTAGAACCGGGGGCACAGCCAACCGTACACCGACAGTTCAGAATGACCCGAGCTCGACGAACTGAGGAAGTAGTTAGATTACCTGTCAGAGAAGAAATTCATCCGACCGAGTTCGTCACCGTTCGCCGCACTGATACTGTTCACACCGGAAAAAGACGGAGGGTTTCACATGTGCATCGATTACAGAGCACTGAACATGGTAACAGTCAAGTCACGATGCCCCATTCCCCGTGTCGACGAACTGATAGACCAACTTCGAACAGCACGGGTTTTTTCGAAAATAGATTTACGGGGAGGTTACCATCATATTAGAGTCGAACCATCGGACTGCGCCAAGACGGCTTTTAGGACTAGGTACGGATCATTTGAGTACACCGTGATGCCCTTCGGGCTGACCAACGCACCGGCGACATTCCAAATGACCATGAACGAGGCGTTTAGGCCACTTTTAGATAAATGCGTGATAGTTTACCTCTACGACATCCTCGTCTACAGTCGCGACAAGCAGCAGCACTTAGCAGACCTGGAAGTAGTGTTTACAATTTTAGACGAGCACCGGCTACTTACAAAGGGTTCCAAGTGCGAGTTTTTTCAGGACAGGCTAGAGTTTTTGGGGCACGTTATTTCGGAGGCTGGGGTTGAAATTGACCCAAAAATGCTGGACACGGTAAAAGCCTGGCACCCCCCGACGAATATCACGGAAGGGGGTCGTATTTACGTGAAGGGAGAAAGAGCATGCTGCCTTCTCTGCCCTGAAAAATGTCCTCT